GAAAGATGAGCTGATAAGCACAGCAAAAACTGAACAAATCCAAAATAGGACAGATTCCCAAAAGAAAATCACCAAGATATATCATAATCAAACTTTACAAAATCAAAGACAAGAAAAGAATCCTGAAATTAGCTGTGAGAAAAACAAAACATTACCTACAAAGAAGAACCAATAAGACTAAGCTCTAATTTCTCAGCAGAAACCATACAGGCAAGAAAGCAATGGAATGACATATATAAAACTCTGGAAAAAAATATTGCCAACCAAGAATCATATACCCAGCAAAGTTGTCCCTCAAATATGATGGAAAAATTAGGACACTTCCTGCCTGATAAACAAAAATTAAAGAAATTCATAATGACCAGACCAACTTTACAGAAAAATGATAAAGGGTGTTTGTTCTTTAGACTGAGAACCAACAACAGAAGACCACAGCCTGAGATTATCATATGTGACAATACCACTCAGAACTCAAGCCAGAGAAGTAGAACTGAACTATAAGACTGAAAATAGGGAACCAGAGATATCAATGTACAATGAAGTCAACTACAAAGCAAAAAGAGGGATTATGTAGATACAGAACTTCCAAATGGCAAGGAAATCAAGTATATTTCAAGACAAAACAAACTGTTTTAAGCAGGTAAAAAATTAATGAATTACAGTGTTGCCACAAAGAAAAATAATACATATACATATCAAAATAAAAAAGAGAGAATCAGAAAGATTTAGTAAATATTAACACAACAGAAATTAAAATGAAAAGAAAACCCACAAACAAAATGAACTCAGCACAGAAATTTATTTGAAACAAAGAATCGAGCAGCCTAATAAAAAAAAAAAGAGAGAGAGAAATGACATCAATTCATACCTATTGATAATTACACTGAATGTAAATGGAATAAATGTTTCAGTCAAGAAACAAAAAAAGCTGAATAGATAAGAAAACAGGATTCTTCAGTGTGCTGTCTACAAGAGACATATCAAAAAGATAGAGACAGCCTAAATGCCCATCAACATAATAATGTCTAAACAAACTTTGGTACATACACACAATGGAATACTATAAAACCTTGAAGAAGAATGATGAATCTGTGAAACACCTCACAACATGATCGAACCTGGAGGACATTATGCTGAATGAAATTGTTGTTGTTAGGTGCCATCGAGTTGGTACCGACCCATAGTGACCTTATGCACAACAGAACGAAACACTGCCCCATCTCCATCACAAAAGGACAAACATTGCATGAGACCACATTGTAAAGACATAAAAAAAAAAAGTTTTCTTGATAAAAGAAACAATCTATGATGGTTATGGGATGTGGAGAATGTAAAGTTATTCACATGCTAGAAGGTAGACACATGTTAACATGGGCAGGCAATATACAACAAGAGGGAGGTTAGCAGAGAAATGATGAAGGTAGTGGGAGACACAGTGTGGAATGCAATAGTTAAAGTGAATAGAGGTAAATGCTGTTAATTGTTGGTATATGGAGGGGATTGCAACCATGTAATGAAGCAAAGTTTGTGATTTGTTTAATATAAAACTGATAATCTGCACCGCAAACCTACACTCATTTACAATAAAACATTTTTAAAAAGCATTATGAATACCACCAGAATATTGTCAGATATAGTGCTGGAAGATGAGCATATCAGGATGGAAGGCAGTCAATATATGACTGGGGAAGACCCACTTCCTCAAACTAGACTTGACCATGATGATGTGAATGGAGCAAAGCTTTCAGAACCTGCATTTATTGATGGTGCCAACTCAATATGACAAGAAACCACTACCAACATCCACTGATAATTGTAACATGAAATGTACAAAGGATGAATCTAGGAAAATTTGGAATTGTCAAAAATGAATGAAACACATAAACATGGATATCCTAGGCATTAGTGAGCTGAAATGGATTGGTATTGACCATTGTGAATCAAACAAACACATGCTTTACTATGCCAGAAACCACAAATTGAAGAGGAACGGTGTCGCATTCATCATCAAAAAGAACTTTTCAAGATCTGTCTTGAAGCATACTGTTGTCAGTGATAGGATAATATCCATGTGCCTAAAGGAGCTCTGATAGCGTAGTGTTACGAATCGGGCTGTGAACCTTAAGGTCAGCGGTTCGAAACTACCAGCCGCTCCACAGGAGAAAGATGAGGCTTTCTACTCCCGTAAGGATTTACACCCTCGGAAACCCTGTACAGGGTCGCTATGGGTCGGAACCGACTCGACGGCACTTAACAACAACATAAGGTAAACTGGTTGACACCATTATTATTCAAATTTACACATCAACCACCAAAGCCAAGGATGATAAAATTGAAGAATTCTACCAATCTCTTCAATCTGAATTGATCAAACATTCAATCAAGATGTATTGATAAGTATTGGTGATTGAAATGCAAATATTGAAAACAAAGAGGAATTTTGCAAGACTAATGATTTATTCACTGCAAATACCTTCCTTAAACAACATATAAAACAACTATACATATGGACCTCACCAGATGGAATACACAGAAATAAAAATAACTTCATCTGTGAAACAACACATTGGGAAAGCTCCATATCACCAACCAAAATGAGGCTGGGGCAGACTGAAACACACCATCAATTGCTCATATGCAAGTTCAGGCTGAAGCTGAAGAAAATTAAAACATATCCATGAGAGCCAAAATATGGCATGGAATATATCCAACCTGAATTTAGAGGTCATCTGAAGAACAAATTTGATGCATTAGACACTGATGATCAGAAGAGTTATGGGATGACATCAAGAACATCATACAGGAAGAAAGTAAACTGTTATTACGACAAGAAAGAAGATAATGACCAAAATTATGTCAGAAGAGACTCTGAAACTTACTCTTTAGTGTAGAGAGGCTAAAGCAAAAGGAAGAAGTGAGGAGGTAAAAGAGCTGAACAGGAAATTTCAAAGGGAAGCTAGAGAAGACAAAGTTAAATATATAATGAAATGTGCAAAGACCTGGAGTTAGAGAACAAAAGGGAAGAACATGTTCAGCATTTCTCAAGCTAAAAGAACTAAGTAAAAAATTCAAGCCTCAACTTGGAATATTGAGGATTCTATAGGCAAAATATTGAGTGATCAAAAGAAGATAGAAGGAATATACAGTCACTATACCAAAAAGAAATGGTTAATGTTCAACCATTTCAAGTGGTAGTATATAATCAAGAGACATTGGTACTGAATGAAGAATTCCATTCTACACTGAAGACACTGGCAAAGAACAAGGCTCTGGGAATTGAGGGAATGAAAACTGAAATCTTTCAACAAACTGATGCAGCACTGGAAATATTCATTCATCTGTGCCATGAAATTTGGAAGACAGCTACCAGGCCAACTGATTGGAAGAAACACATATGTGTGCCCATTTCAAAGAGAGTTGAGCCAATGGAATGCAGAAATCATTAGACAAGTTCATATGAAGTAAATTTTTGCTAAAGGTAATTAAAAGACAGCTGCAACAGTAAATTGACAATGAACTGCCAGAGGTCCAAGCCCGATTCAGATAAGGACATGGAACAAGGGATATCATTGCTGACATCAGAAGGCTCTTGGCTGAAAGAAGAAAATACTAGAAACATGTTTATCTGTGCTTTATTGAGTATGTAAAAACTTTCTACTGTGTGGATCATGACAAACTATGGACAACATTGTGCTCATGAAGAACCTGTACACAGACCAAGAGGCAGTCTTTGAACAGAACAAGAAAACACTAAAGGGTTTTAAATCAGTATTGTATTCTTTCTGCATACTTATTCAATGCATATATCTAAGAAGCTGGATTATATCAAGAAGAATATGGCATAAGGATTGGAGGAAGACTCATTAACAATTTTGAGATATGCAAATGATACAATCTTCTGAAAACAAAGAGGACTTAAAAATACCTACTTATGAAGTTAAAAAAACCACAGCCTTCAGTATGGGTCTTTACCTCCATGTAAGGAAAACACAGATCCTCACCACTGAACCAGCAAATAGCATCACGATAAATGGAGAAAAGATTGAGTTGTCAAAGACTTCATTTTACTTGGATCCACCATCAACACACCTGGAAGCAGCAGTCAAGAAACAAAACGATGTATTTCATTAGGCAAATCTGCTGCATAAGACCTCTTTAAAGTGTTCAAGTGCAAAGATGTCAGTTTGAGGTCTAAGGTGTGCCTCACCCAAACCAAGATATTTTCAATTGCCTCATATGTATGTGAAAGTGGAACAATGAAAAAAGAAGACTGTGGAATTGATGCATTTGATTATGATGTTGGAGCAAAATATTAAAAGTACCATGGACTGTCAGAAGAACAAACAAATCTGTGTTCAAAGTACAGCCAGAATGCTCCTTGGAAGCCAAGATGGCCAAATTTTGACATTCATACTTTGCACATATTATTGTTGCTGTTGTTATGTGCCTTGGAGTCGGTCCGACTCATAGCGACCCTATACAGGGTTTCCGAGGCTGTAAATCTTTACCAGAGCAGAAAGCCTCGTCTTTCTTCTACAAAACACGTCTATAAGGCACTCTATTTGTAGTAACAGTAAATAACAATAGGCCTGTGCGTGCATTCCCACCTCTAGCCTCAACATTCGCTAAGTACCTTCCAGTAGATTCTGACTCATAGTGGCCCGGTTTCTGAGGCTGGAATACCTCTTTTTCCCTCCAAACAACAGGTGGGCTCGAATCCTAGATAAGCGTTCCCATCTTAGCATCACCATTTTGATAAGGAGTATGTTTCTCCAAGATATAATGTTCTCCCACCTGGAGAAAAAGGCAGGGAGTCCAGACTTGACCCCAGATCTCCCAATTCAGGCAAAACGAGGTCAAGATCCCTTGCGAGCTGCAGAGCCAACTTCCCGCCAGGGAGCGCCACAAGGACAGGCCTGAAGTGCAGGGGACTGCGCTCCACCTTCCTGGGAACTCAGCAGGCAGGTCCCGCCCAGAACACCAGTTCGTGCACAAAACTCCACCTGCCCTGAACTAGAAGCCTACAGTGGTGCTGACAGCCAAGACGCCTCTCTGTCGCCCCAGCCTCCCTCAAGCCCAGCTTCCCATCGCCAAGCACCTCCCCGCAGTCCGCCCGCCTTCACTCCGGAGTCCACCACAGCGCAAAGCTGTACGCCCAGAGTGCGCCCCCCGCCCTCACCGGGACAGGGGACCCCGCCACCGTTATGCTGCCCGCGGTCTACACCGCTCTGGCGGGGTTGCTGCTCCTGCCGCTGCTGGTGCACTTCTGCTATCCCTACTTCTTCAAGGACTTGGCCTTCTTCCTCCGGGTGGCACGCATGGCGCGGAGGGTGCGCAGCTACGGACAGCAGCGGCCAGTGCGCACCATCCTGGATATCTTCCTGGAGAAAGCGCGCAAGACGCCACACAAGCCTTTTATCCTCTTTCGCGATGAGACGCTCACCTACGCGCAAGTGGACCGGCGCAGCAATCAGGTGGCGCGGGCGCTGCACGACCACGTCGGCCTGCGCCAGGGAGACTGCGTGGCGCTCTTTATGGGCAATGAGCCGGCCTACGTGTGGCTGTGGCTGGGGTTGGCTAAGCTGGGCTGTGCCATGTCGTGCCTCAACTACAACATCCGCGCCAAGTCCCTATTGCACTGCTTCCAGTGCTGCGGGGCGAAAGTACTACTGACCTCACCAGGTGAGCCCCGGGGACTGGACTCGCCTCACCTTGGCACTGGGCCATCTATGCGCCTTTGCTAACCAAGCACTGGCTGATGTAGGGAGGTTGATGAGCAAGGTTCTGATCAGTACTTGGGGTATAGAGGAAGGGAATGGCAAGGTTGCCTTGAAATTCGGATTCATAATCGTTGTTATTGTTAGTGCCAAGGAGTCGCTTCCGACTCATAACGACCCTGTTTAGGGTTTCCGAGGAACGGCTGGTGGGTTTGAACTGCCAACCTTGGGGCTCAAACTGATCTTGCGGCCCAGCGCATTATCCAGCAGGGCCACACCAGGACTTCTTATGATCGATTTAGAACTACCAATTGTGGAAGCTTAAGGAGCTCTGGTAGCGTAGTGGTTACGAATCGGGCTGCGAACCTTAAGGTCAGCGGTTCGAAACTACCAGCCGCTCCGCGGGAGAAAGATGAGGCTTTCTACTCCCGTAAAGATTTACACCCTCGGAAACCCTGTACAGGGTCGCTATGGGTCGGACCCGACTCGATGGCACTTAACAACAACAACATTCTGTACCAGGCATTGTTAAACAATATACATACAGTATTGCTTTTAATTTTTTAAACAGGAAGGGTTTATTGTTCGACCTTGATAGATGAAGCCATCCAGGCCTGTGACATAGGAAGCCTAATGACCCAGGTCACTCCGCTGGAGGGAGAAGGAGAGAGGAGGGAGACAGGACCTCCTAAATCCAAACTCCTCACCAATACTTACAGCATTGACATTTCAATGCAGAGGGTGTGAGAGCCAGTGGGTCCTGAGAGATTTCCTCACTTCTGTTGCTACAGTGTGTAGCTTTGGGAAAATCACTTCACCTCTCTGTTCTCTGGTTTCCTTGGAAGGCAGTCTCCACAGCTGCTTCCAGCTCTCAGGTGTGGTTAGCATCCGGGGCTCCCCACTGCAGAGAGGAGACCCCACCTGATCCCCAAGAAGACTTTAGGGTTCTGCTGCAGTGCCACTGTGAGCCCCAGTGTATTGTTAGTGATGGTGATCGCTTCATTTCTAGAGTTGCCTCCACCACACTTCAACCAGACAACTGCATGCTACAGTGGGGATCCAAGTGAGGAAGCAACAGAGAACCTGTATTCACTGGCAGGTGGTTTTCCCTTCCCAGAGGGCTAGCCTTTGCTCATAAGTAAGGACCAGAGAGGTTGTCGCTTGCTCTACTTGTAAGAGGAGATTTAACTAAATGTGGTTTGAAAGGCATCAGTGGTGATATTGGGGCATAATGAGCCAGGAAATCCCACCTTTCCGGACTGCCTTTCTATACCAAACCCTATGTTGGGTGCTTTTGTTACCTCAGGATATAATGTATTATAACCTCTGGTAGCGTAGTGGTTACGAATTGGGCTGCGAACCTTAAGGCCAGCAGTTCGAAACTACCAGCCGCTCCAAGGGAGAAAGATGAGGCGTTCTGCTCCTGTAAAGATTTACAGCCTCGGAAACCCTGTACAGGGTTGCTATGGGTCAGAACTGACTCGACGGCACTTAACAACAACAACAACCTCCCATTTTACACTTGAGGAAACTGCTCAATTTCAAAGACCATGATCTTTCACTTCATCCTACTGTCTTCCTCTTCAGGGATGTAGTTTTAGAGCTGGAAGCAGCCTAAACCAAGTAAGCAGCCACCTGGTTTTCACCTTTATTTCATAGCTCAGAAAAAGGATGTGGGAAATCAGGATGCTTACCTGTTTTATGAGGTATAAAATAATCTCCCAAAAAACGGTTTAAAGGTCTGGGAGGGGTGACTGTGTTAAAGGCAGTCAAATTATTTAAAGAGGAAGTCCATCAATAAATGTGTTTTCAACTACATAACAATTCTTGTTTGCCTGGGGCGGGGCACGAAAAATTCTCCCTACTTTGTAACTAGAAGATTCTCTTAAGCCTATTACTTAATCAGCTGACTGGAAGTATTAGGACAGTGATCTTCGTACCCGCTTCAGGAGACATTAAACTACTACTTACCTCCTTGTTTGGTATTCCAGAAGTCAGTGAGGCACATCAAATTGCTTGGTGGTGGTGGTTGTGAGGTGCTGTTTGGTTGGTTCCAACCCCTAGGACCCTATGTACAACAGAACAAAGCACTGCTCAGTCCTGCACCATCCTCAGTCCTTCCGATGTTTGAGCTCATGGTCTATGAGCCCATTGTGTCAATCCATCTCATTGAGGGTCTTTCTCTTTTTATACTGCCCTCTACTTTATCAAGCATGATGTCCTTCTCTAAGGACTGGTCTCTCCTGATAACATGCCCAAAGTATGGGAGCTGAAGTCTCCCCAGCCTCACTCTAAGGAGCATTTTTCCAAGACAGATAGATTTGCTGATTCTTCTGGCAATCCAAAGTATATTCAATATACTTTGAATATACTTTGGATTCAAAGTATATTCAACACCATAATTCAGATACATCAATTATTTTCTAGTTTTCCTTATTCATTTCCAGTTTTCATATGTATATGTTTTTGTTAAGTGCTGTCAAGTTGATTCCAACTCATGGTGACCCTGTATAGGATTTCCAAGGAGTGTATTGGTGTTGTTGTTAAGTGCCATCGAGTCAGTTCTGACTCATAGGGACCCTGTATAGCATTTCCAAGGAGCGGCTGGTAGACTTGAACTGCCAACGTTGCAGTACAAACACACCTTGCACTCAAGCACATTATCTTGTAGCACCACACCAGGACTCCCAGGAGTATATTAGATGATTGAAAATACAGTGACTTAGATCAGGCAAACCAATCTCTAAGTGACCCTATGTACTTTTTTGACACTGTCTTTGCATTTTGACCTTTTAAAGAGGACGTTTGCAGCAATTTCTCCAGTGTGATCTGCTGTCTTGACTACTGCTCCCAGGGCATTGATTGTGGGTTGGAGTTTTACTTGGAGTTTTACTGAAAAGGAAGTCCAGCTTTAAATGACTGTGACAGAGTTTCAGGAGTCCCAAGGTAGTTATAACAACTAACACTCAGTTGCTAACTGGAAGGTTGGAGTCTACCCAGAGGCACCTCAAAAGAAAAGCCTGGTGATTTAAAAAGCTTAGTGATCCCTAAAAATTCTATGGAGAACAGTTCTCCTCTGAAGCACCTGGAATTCCCCGGAGTCAGAATTGACTCCATGGCAGCTGAGGGCATTTTGTTATCTTTTGGTTTTGAGTCATTTCAGTATTGACTAGAGTTGTAACAGAGCATAGCTAGTTCTGTAATGTGTTCAGAATCATAACCAGGGGGTTTACGCTCCATGCAGACAATGGTCCTCTGTGATAGGACATTCTGTCTAAGTCGGTGCCCATGAAGACTGCAATGAAATTCTTATATTCAAGTCAAACTTGAACCAGAGTCCCCCGTGGACACAAGATGTTCTGTGGCAGTGAAGTGGCCTTTGACAGAGGGCAGACCTTTGGGAGCTTTTAGCATTTTCAAATCACCAGGATACCTTTGTGAAAAATGCAGGATCCCACTCTGCACTGAAACAGTTACTGTAAAGGAGATAACATAAACAAGACTGTGTGTTTAGGAAACTTGCCCAGGTGTATTTTGTTGAATGCACAGAGCTTTAGTTCTTTGAAATTAGGGTTAGAAAGTATTTTAAAGAATCGAAGAAATTATAATGAGCCTAAGAATGGTCTAGGAAGTTTATTTTTTTAAACCAGACTACTAAATCCAATCCCCTAAAACACTGGTCACTAGGACAATAGGAGGGCCCAGGAATGTGTACTTTTGTAGCCAAGCCCACCCAACCCCCACATGATTTTGATGAGGATGACTTGAGGGCTAGGCTTTAAGAAATAACCAGTTTAGTTTCATCCAGTTCTTTGACAGAAGAACAAAGGTCCTTAAGGGTGATAACTATTACCCCGATCTCGTGAATAATTAACAGCAGAAATTTGGGACAGAACCCAAATGTTTTCCTCACTATCCAGAGCAGTTTTTAGTATATTGCAGTCCTGGTGTGTGGCTTCTGGTTAATGAACTATACTGCAAGGATGGTTTGAACCAGAATGTTGGTGATTCAAGCTCACCAACCATTCCTCGGAAACCCTACACAGGGTCACTATGAATCAGAACCACCTCATCAGCACTTACTAACAACATCTGAGCATTAGACTTAAATGTGGCAAACCTTAGGAACCTTGGGGCAACAATTCAACAGAGCTTGATTCTACACTTGAATTTCAGTACAGATTGTCAGGCTTGTGAGTTAGTAAGAGCTACTGAGTTCAAGCTCTTTGTCCAGTTCTGGAGTACATGTAAAGGTCAGGGATTCTCATAAAGCTTATGAAGGAGTCAGTAGGTTCATGCACTTAGCTGCTGAAACAGTCTGAACTCCACTCTTTTGAGTGGGCTACTGAAAGAATAATTTAGATGAGTTGCCTCGCTGTGCTTTGAGTGCCCCAAAACTTGGACTTCTCTCTTTGATCTTTGAATAATGTCCTAGTAATGCTTAGAGTCCTGTCCTGGTGTAGCACTGTAGGATAAGAACTGGACTGCTAACCACAAGGTCGGAGGTTCAAATCCACCAACCACTCCTCAGAAACAGGGTCTCTAAGAGTCAGAACTGACTCAACAGCACTTAACACAGCAACAACAATAGCAAATGCTTAGAGTCAGAGTCCATCTTTAAATAATGCCCTACTACTGTACAGGGTCACTATGAGTCGAAACCGATTCCACGGCACATAACAACAACAAATGCTTAGAGTAAGGAGCTCTGGCAGCGTAGTAGTTACGAATCGGACTGCTAACCTCAAGATGAGCTAGTTCGAATCTACTAGCTGTGCCACAGGATAAAGATGAGACTTTCTGCTTCTGTAAAGATTTACAGCCTCGGAAACCTTATACAGAATCGCTATGAGTCGGAACTGAGTCCACAGCACATAACCACCACTGTTTAGAGTCAGAATCAACTGGATGGTAGTGGGTTTGGTTTGGCTTGGGGAATGCATAGTAAAGGAACACTGGTGGTGC